CCCCCACCCCCCCGGGCAAGGGCTTCTTGGATATGTCAACGGAGAACTATCGTGCCCACTAGCCGTCCTCACCACCACCAGCTCCAGTGAGGAGGCCTCCGGCGGCGCGACATCCACCTCCACCCCGAATCCGGCGTAAGCGGCTTGGGTCCAACAGGACCAGTCCATCCTTTCTCTCATCATCTCATCTCTCTCCGACGAGGTGATGTACCTCGCGGTCAGCCGCAACACCTCCAGAGATGTTTGGCTCTCCATCACTCACGGTATCCCGGAATTGGACCCTGCAACAGTTAGACGTCCACAACGCCTTCCTAAATGGGCACTTGGGCGAAACCGTGTTTATGCGTCAGTCGCCGGGTTATGAGGATCCAGTGCACCCTGACCATATCTGTCATCTCTAGCGGTCTCTATATGGGCTCAAGTAGGCGCTCCGGGCTTGGTTCAAACGTCTACACGATTTTTTGATAACTACAGGGTTCTCTACTTCAAAGACTGAGCTGTCTCTTTTTCACTACTCCGTTGGACTGTTACGTGTATTCCTCTTAGTATATGTGGATGACATCATTATGATGGGCGATGACTCCGCCTTAATTTACACGTTGTTGCGACGTCTTGCCTCCACGTTCAAGATACAGGACCTAGGCACGCCAAGTTTCATTTTGGGCATTGAGACCCTACAAATAGAAGGAGATCTTCTTCTTTCCCAGCGCCGTTACATGGGTGATCTCCTAAAAAGAGCACGTATGTCATATTGTAAACCACTGGCCACTCCAGCGGCGGTGACTCAGTCTGTGACTCCTTCGACCGAGCTGTTTAAGAATCCCATGCAGTATCGTCGTCTAGTAGGTGCTCTACAGTACTTAACTATCACTCAGTCAGACCTCTCTTACGCAGTGAATCGCCTATGTCAGTTCATGCATGCCCCTACCGATGAACACTAGGGGCTCCTTAAACGTGTTTTACGGTATGTCAAAGGCACGCTCAACCACACGATCTCATCTCCCCCTCGCTAGCATTTCCACTGTCTTTCGCTATCGGTGGCGGTGAGGTGGTTTTAGTTTTCATTTGCAACATCCCGGAGGCATGAATCCGAAACCCAAAAATAAAAATCAAAATTTTGACGGTGAAAATTGTTGGCATTGTAGACAATAGCTCATATCAGAGCATTAATATCCTTAGAATTGAGTTCCTTATGCTGGCTTCGAGCCGATTGATCTCTCCATGTGTGCATGTGCTGCATTTAGTAGTACTGCATGCGATCGTGGGTTGGATAAAGGGAAACAAACGTCAATTGTTAATCAAGGATGTAGAGCATCCATGTTGATATTGTGTTGTAAATGAGACGTATCTTCGCATGAATTGTTGTATTGTTTCAATCTCAGAAAAGTAGTAGACATAATAATATAGAGTAAGGTAAAGAGAAAGATATGAAATACCAAGAGAATTATCAATCCTTTATTATTAACCATTCAGTCCAATATATACATGATATATAAAGTTTCAGTATAACTACAAGTTTATAAATGATAAATATGTATTACTCATGATGGGAAATATTCCCCTAGTATACATTCCTCATACCTGCACGGTATCCGACTTAGTCACCATGGGGAACTGTTCCCGACCTTAACAGATCCGGCCTAAATGCGAAGGCCAAGCAAATGACCGGTTAACATGTGCCTTTACCCCACCTTAAGATCGGGCACGACCCTATGAGGTCAGGATGATCGAACCGATTAGGTCCACTTAGAGAATTAAACCCAGATCCCTACGCAGCTTAATGGCCAATCAAGAATATCATGACGCATGGGCGTCACTCCACCGCTGTTGAACCAGCCGACCACATGCGCGACAAGTGTCAGGCATGCCGAGAGCCCGACATGTGTCACTTCTCATCACCTATAAATAACACATATATTACATGGGGGGTGGGGGGTGGGGGGACTTTTTGGCATCTAACCACAGTCTGCTCGGGACTCTCCAACCAATAACCATTTTTCCCGAGCTCAACCACTTAAACCAACAAGCATATCCAAACAATTATATTAACCAAACCCATATATTTACCAACATCAACTTTGTATCATCATATAATTTCTCTAGTAATATCCACATATATTTATTTACAACACTAACTTATTTGTTTTTTATTTTTGAGAATAAACACTAACTTATTTGTTTAAGCGAGTTATAATAATAAAAAAAAATGGTATAAATGATAATTTCAACAAAATGGTTAAGTTAAATTAAAACTAAAATAAATTATTGAAACTTTTGACCAAAAAAGATAGGATAAAGTGGTCAAATTAGGCATAATATATATATATATATATATATATATATATATATATATATAATAATTAATTAATTAGGCTTAAAACGGGTTATCCAAATCACCCTGGATGACGCGTGGACCCTACAGGAAGCAGTAGATCAAGCGATCAGAAACAGATCCCTATGCGCCACTTCACGGAATCACAGTCCTAAAGGGAAGATACTTGCGAATATTCTCCTGGGCCCCACTCCTCTGCAATCATCTCACCCTTTTCCAATCCTCCGCGCGACGCAGTGACCGCCTCTTCTTCTCCGTTACTTCCCGTGCCTCCAATAAATACCGACTCTCTTTATCGCACTACACACAGATAAACTTCTTCTCGTTAGCTCTTCAGTTTCTATTTGCGTCCAGATTTCTAATCATGATTTCGGAAGCAGATCAAGAGCAACTCCTTCAGAATCTCCAGGTTTTCAAGATCAAAGGCAAAGATAAGAGTGGCCGTAAAATCCTCCAAATCTTCGGAAAGTTCTTCCCTGGTATCAACTCACTCTTCTTCTTTTTCATTTTTTCTTCTTTTAATTCAACTGCTTCTTTATTGATTTTTGGCGTTTTGCGTGGTCGATCAGCGAGGATTGTGAGCGTTGAGGTCGTGAATAAGTTCCTTCGGGAGAAGATTTTCCCGGACCTCGAGAACCGGCCGTTCGCGGTGCTGTACTTCCACACCGACGTAGAGAAGAACGAGAATTTTCTCGGAATTTCAGCTCTGCGCTCACTTTACGATTCCATTCCGGCCGCCGTTCGGCAGAATCTCGAGGCCGTGTATTTTGTCCATCCCGGCCTTCAATCTAGACTCTACCTAGCCACCTTCGGCCGGATCATGTTCACCGGAGGGTAATTCTTCATCAACTAACCTCTATTCTCGCGCATTTTAGCAATAATTCCTCATCAACCTCTAATCTGGCGCATTTTAGCAATCCGTTAAAAATAAATTTGACCTAACGACATCTAGTTACAGAAAATCATTTTGATTTGAATTTGAACTGTGCAGATTATACGGCAAGCTGAGGTACGTAACTAGATTGGCTTATCTGTGGGATCATGTGAGGAGGAATGCGGTTGAGATCCCGGAGTATGTTCACGATCACGATGCGGATCTGGAGTACCGTCCGATGATGGACTACGGTTTCGAGACCGATCACACGAGGGTGTACGGTGCACCCGCCCTGGATTCCCCCGATCCAATGCACTCAATGAGATGCATCTCCTAGTCTCACTTCTATTCTCAACTACGACGTCGTAGTAGAAGGCCCAAGGCGAAGGGTTTCTGCCGTATTAGATATCTCATTTTCTCCTTTTTTTTTGTTTTTTTTTTTTTTTTCCATTTTGTATATATACAATGCGAAATATTGTTGTAATTTCTTCTCGCCACCTGGACGGCCTTTGGCTTTAATGAATTTCTCGAGTAATTGAAATTTATGCTAAATTTCAACTTTTCAAGCAAATTTTAGACATTATGATTTGTAATTAATATGTTTTTTATTTTATTTTATTTTTAAATAGTCCTTCAGTCTTTAGAATTCTATGAGATATTTAAAAATTGATGGATAAGCCCCATTTGGGAAAGCAATTTAGGCATGCAGTGAATATGGGAGAGTGTCGTGATCAATTGGGTCGTTTATCATGTATAACACGTTTGGATGGGTACTAAATTCGGTTAAAATTTCGGTACGAGTATTTATCGTTGTGCATTAAATATGATTTGTTTCTGATTACCTAAAATTAAGTATTGGATAATTTTGTTAGGTGTGTCCGTTTTTTGGGTTTCTTTTTTACAAATAAAATAATATATATTTATCTTGACTAATAAAATAAAAGTAAATATGCTTTTCCAAAGTTGAAATGTAAGTGGATTGAGTGGTCCACAGTCTACGGCAGAAGATGAATTATGCAAAACAATTGAGATTGATGTAATTACAAAAGAGGAATTAGGAAAAGATGTTGAGAATGTAATATATAAATATAAATGTATAATTTGACTATCAATTTAATATTTTAATTGGGAAAAAACTATGAATTTTATTCAAAAAAAAATGTTAGGCCTTTAAATTTTTAAAAGTTATAATTAAATCCATAAAGATGTTATGGTGATATGTAATTACATGTCGTCACTAGGGTTTAAACGACTCTCTAGTCAATTTCGACGAGCCTCCGACCGTCACTGGTCATGTTTGGAGAAGGCAACTGGTCGTCTTCCCCTTCTCCAAATGCGACCGGCGACTGTCAAATGGTCGCCAATGTTTGTCGCAAAACTCGTTAGAACCCTAGTAACTTGCAATTACAAGTCACCAACCAGTTTCTGGACTTCAATGCTTCAAAATAACATGGTTATGGATTTAATTGCAACTTTTGAAAATTTAACGTCTTAATTGAATTTTTTGAATAGAGTTTAAAAGCTTATTTGACCATTTTCTCTTTTAGTTGAGATGTCAAAGTTACATAAGTTAAAAGAATAATAAAATTGACAAGTACATAATTCTGCAAATGAATTGATTCAATTTCTACCAAAATCTATTCTCTTTATACAGAGGCCCTTCAATATAATCCTCCCTAATAAAATAGAGTTGAAGGGCAAAAACTTTTATCCTCATGTATAATACATACAATACATAAGTTAAAAGAATAATAAAATTGACAAGTACATAATTGTGCAAATGAATTGATTGAATTTCTACCAAAATCTATTCTCTTTATACAGAGGCCCTTCAATATAATCCTCCCTAATAAAATAGAGTTGAAGGGCAAAAACTTTTATCCTCATGTATAATACATACAATACACACCTTAAAATTAACATTAACATGAGATCATTACACAACGTTAGCACCATCTAAACCTTAACGTAGTTTTTACACGCACGCTAATATTGTACAACATACAATTTCCATCTCCCTCCCTGTCTGTCCCTCACACTTCGATTCCAATATGAACTGTGCATTAACTTGGTTTCCCGGGTCATCAACGCTGCGTTGTCTTTGTTTGCAGATCAGTTCAGTGAGAGCAATGATGGATGCCAAAGGCATAAAAGTTGAACTGCCACAACCCCCCGGGGCTTGCCTCGTTCACTCACTAGTCATCGTCTTCGGGTTTTGCAGGCCTATGCTGCTGCATGACCAGAACTGAGCCACAGAAATCGAATTCTGCAGACGCCAAAAAGTCCCCGACTTTTCCAAGCTCCGGGCATTCTTCCCAGTCACTGATTCCGGTTATTAGGGGTGATGAATACCCTCGCCCTTCCTTTCCTACTACGATCAAGGAATACATATCGGCCATGTCCCTCAAGGCGGATGCTGTTTCCGACCCATTCTCTACATGCTTCTCTACATATCCTACTTGACCTGATGTCACGTACCTAACATTTACCAAATATATTGTTAAGATGCCTGTCACACCCAACCGATAATACTAATACACTACTGGAAATTATGGAATTTCCGACCACCTGAAAGTTATCTTAAATCAAGTCGAAAGCAAAAAGTGGTCAGAAATAGCAACAAAGGTTTTTCCGAATACGAGAAGTGGTCGGAATTTAAGATCACTTTCAGGTGGTCGGAAATTCCATAATTTCCAGTAGTCATACTAATACTAATAATGGGTTAGTCTAATTTCACAGTAGTATTCAAGTCAAGGGTGATTGATTAGTGATTACCTATGATAGAACTCTGATAACACTTCATTATCTGCCTCGGTTTCTGTCTCACGATCAGATATCGCCATTAAAACGTTTTCCTCCTTGTGAGCAATATCAACACCGACGTTTTGTTCCTTGGCAGAAGCTGAAAGGAACCTAATAACTGTAAGGTTTATGTGGTTATGCATGCCTAGTCTTTTGCTGAAGCCCAGTGCCTCGCGATCATCTGGCCCGCCAAAAAACAGTGTTGCAATGTGCTGCAACGAGTCAGTGTTGGTGATGTTTAATGAGCCAGCTGTGAGTCCCCGATCCACGAGAATGGCAACTGCACAGGGGGAAAAGCGAAGTACTTTTTGGTTCGTGGTCCTTATACCATCTTTGCTAGTTTCAAGTTTCCCGTCGATCCTCTGGTGCTTGTGGAAAGGAAGCAGAATAATAGACGCTCTTATATCCTCGGCATGGTCACACACGTCTTTATACATGCTCGAAAGGGGCGATACAGCTTTCATCTGATGAACCATCACCCCGGTTTCAGCAGTGAATATATCCACCGCGTCGTTGATCTCCACCACTTCGTTGCCACCATAATCATCGTCATCGCTCACTTCATCTTCCTCTTTCTGGTTATACATCAGAGTGGTATTGCTTTTTCCCGGGAGCTCAACCAGATGCATTAAGTAGGGTGTCAAGGGAACATTCTCGGGCCCTCTCGATGCTGCAATAAGCCCTACCATGGTTGCCACGGGTCGAGGACCATGTACACAAGCGAGCAATCGCAGTTCACACTCCGGGGCTTGAGTTTCAAAGTATATTTGTCGGTAGCCAATAATGTCATGCTCTCTTCTCACCATGAAAGCTATAATGGGTCCCCATACCAACGAATTTATCACTACCGCTGATACCATCAGGCCGTAGAATGTATCACTCAATATAATCTGCATATTTTAGTACATTTTTACTCACATCCAGATTGCAAAGTAAATACATAATAACTTTAGAAACTAAGTTAGTTAGCATACGTGCATCAACAATAAATAAGATTAGAGGGAAATAAATGTTAGAAATGCAAGTGAAGACACGAAGAACATCTTTTGGGCATGAGTACTTCATAACTAATTAAAGAAGTAATAAAAAGATAATACCCCGTACTAAAAAGGATGCCCTATCATATCACTCTATCAGCTATATGCGAATGCACCATTTCTCCTGCTAAACTCATTGCAGATATGGGTTAACTAAATTGAAGCATGTGCTCCACCTCAACTAAAAGAAGCTGACAGTTGGATTGCACATTTATGTTTATATATATATATATATTATATGTTCAACAAACTATACTTACTTTATTTGTTGAGCCAATTGTTAATGCTAGCAAATCAACATGGCCTTTTAGGTTCATTAGGAAAGCCATGAGCACTCCTTCATAGTACGGAATCTTTAGGTGATAGCAAGCAGCGAGAGTGCCCACGATTTTACCTCCGAAACTCAACAGCATAATGAAAAAGACGATACAAAAGTTGCGAACGCTGTCAATGTAAGCTACATTCGCCTTAAATCCTAAGTAGCCAAAGTAAATTGGGAGGATGAAGTTGTGAACCGGGTAAGTAAGTTTGATCAACAATGTCCGAGCTGCTTTGCCTCCTCGTGGAAACATGGATCCGATGAGGAAGGAGAATATCAAGCTGCTGAAACCCATCAGCTCTAGAGACATTGCAACAATGTAGAGAATTGCCAGAAGACCAAACATTTCAGCGTTCTTAAGGTACTTTTGATTCCTGTTCCGCCTGTTCATCCAATTCGCCACGTACATGTTCACCACCACAACTAGGGCCACGGTGAAGAGATAAAGCAAACCAAGGAAAAACCAAGTCGTGTATGTATAGTGCTGCCTTGTTTTTGAAATCGCAAACAACAATACCACCCCATATGCATCGTTAATCAAAGCCGAAGATATGGCCATCCGCCCAATATCAGATGTTGCAAACTTCAAGTCTGCAGCCAAACGAATCACAACCGGAGAGGCGGTGCTGGCTAAGATTATAGTGATCATTAAGCCCATCATGAATGCAGAACCATGGGACGATGTCTCTTGATACACAAATGAAGTAATAGCAGCCGCAAAGAAAGTGCACATTAAGCTCGAACCACACGCTATGATCCCCACTTGACGCAGTTTGCGAATAAAGTAAGGAAAGTCCATCTCAAGACCAATCAGAAACATGATGATAATCCTAAACAGGACCGCCATGAATTCATAGTAATCCGCAACAAAATTCCGAAGGAAGTATGATTTTACTTCAGGGATGAGCGACAATCCCGAGGGACCTAACATGAATCCCGCCTATGTCACAAAGAAAACACAACATTAGCCGTGGCAAACCACAATTCTATGTACTCTAAAACGTAATGTCTCCCTTCAATGTGAGAAGGAAATCCGCTTAACTGACCAGCTCGAACCAAGAAAGCCAATAGACTGCTTTGACAGAGAGTCGAACTTGGAACCTTATGGTTACCAAGCCAACAACCGTCCAACGAAAGTGGCTGGGATTGGCCTGGATTTTATCCTTAAATATATAGAACATGGCGAAAATGACAGTGACCAAGATGCCTAATTTATCTCGAACAAATAGAGGATCAAATCAAACATTCATAGTTGAAGAAACATGGCGATTAACCTAACCTAACCTAACCTAACCTAAACAAGAACATCTGAAATTGGGCGAACGATTTGGTTTTCAGATGACGTACTTACGAGAATTTGAACAATGGGTGCAGCCTGGCCAAAGGGTTTGAGCAGAATCTGGAGAAAGTGAGAGAGCACGAGAATGCAGGAATACTGCATCCCCATTGCGAGCACCGGGTTGAACAATTCCTGGCCGCATTCTGGATCCTCTGCATCAGCCATTTTATCTGCAATTTTTTCTTTCTATTCCCTAAAATGAAGAAACAAAAATATTCTCAACAAAGTACAAGGAATCGTGGGTAAGTGAGTCAAGGAAGAACGAAGAGTCTGAGAGGAGGAGGAAGAAGTAAAGAAAGCAGAAAATGCTAGCTGCTTTTCCTCTCCTCTTCTTCCTTGAGCCTTTGGTGTGAAATTCCCTCCCTCTGTCTTGCTGTGTTGCAGTCATTGGATTATGGGCGACGCGAAAGAGAAGCAGAAGAGGTTGTGAATCCAGGTTTTGCTGTTTTGCCTGCTGTTGTGATGGGTGGAAGACCGCGCTTTCTGCGGATTATCTTCATTTTCGCTAAATGGTCTGTTCATGTCCAAATTTCTTCCATGCACCAATTACTCAACGCACACAAAAATCATGGTCTCATGTTAATGTCAAAATTTCTGTTCTTGCTTCAAATCTATGCCCACCGTTCAAATCCTTAACTTTTCAACTTTCAACCATAATATATTCCATCCTCCCATTCTCATTTAGGAATTATTTATACTTCTGATCACCCATGATTATTAAGGTATTTTTTACATTTAATTTAGTCCCCCATGTATATTTTTTTTGTCATATTTAAACATTTCGATCCATTTAAAAATTCAGAAAATAAAATATGCGTGTACGTGAATGTTCAAAGAAAATAAAGTCAAAAAAAATATGCATTTCGGATCAATGAAAAAATTATTCAATTTGAGGAAAAATGTCTTTATAAATTTAGCCAGAAGATATTTTTTAAATTTTTTTATTTTTCTGTCATCCTCTTCAAGTTACTTTCCGAATTATTATTAGAGTTAATTAACAAAATGGTCCCTTGACTATAGCGAAATTATCAATTTGGTCCTTGACTATTTTTTAACCAATTAAGTCCCTCAACTTTAAAAATTTTAACTAATTTGGTCCTCTGTTAGTTTGACCGTTAGTCAACTGTTAACTTGGGACCAAATTGGTAATTTAGCTATAGTCAATGGACCATTTTGGTAATTAACTTTAGGGGTGGGCAATTCGGTTTAGTTTTCTCGAATCGAACTGTACCGAGCTAGTTTGGTTCGGTAATATACCGAACAAGCGAATGGTATTGGATTCTTGCATACCGAACAGTTCGATAAAAAACTGATCCGAACCGATCCGAATTGTTCGGTAAAAAATTGAACTGAACCGAATACTGTTTAATTTTTTAAAAAAAATATAATAATAATAATAATAATAATAATAATAATAATAAATAAATAAATAAATAAATAAAAAGTAAATCCAAGTCCCTTACTGCTTGTTCTGCCGTTCAGCTCATATTATCACGGGTATCTCTCGTAAATGTTTTATTTGATTTCTTTATGGTTTGTTATCAAAAGTTCTATATTATGTGTTAATGGTGTTTACATAGTCCATATCCAAAGTCTAATATATAACAAAATAGCAATCCAAAGTTCAAACGGTATTCGGTTCGATTCGGTTCGGTTTTTATCGAACAATTCAGTTCGGTTCGAGTTTTTACCGAACCGTTCGGTATACAAGAATCTATTACCGTTCGGTTGTTCGGTATATTATGGAATCTAACTAGTTTGGTACGGTTCGAGAAAACTGAACCGAATTGCCAACCCTTAAAGGTAATTACCAAAATGGTCCCTTGACTATAGCAAATTATCAATTTGGTCCCAAGTTAACGGTTGACTAACGGTCAAACAAACGGAGGACCAAATTGGTTAAGATTTTTAAAGTTAAGGGACTTAATTGGTCAAAAAAAATAGTCAAGGACCAAATTGGTAATTTCGCTATAGTCAATGGACCATTCGGAAATTAACTCTTACTATTATTACCATCACTACCACTCCACCACCATACCATCACCACAACAACCTCCACTATCACCACCACTTCACCAACGCCACCACCACTACTTCACCGCCGCCACTATCTCACCACTACGCCCAACACAACCACAACCACAACCATCACCACCACTAACACACCACCACAACAACAACCCCCACATCTACCACCACCACTACCACTACCCCATCGCCACCACCAATACTTATTATTATTATTATTAGAGAAAATTTCAATTTTGGTACACTGACTATTGGAGTTGTATTAATTACAACACTTGACTATCAAAAATGTTAATTTAGTACCTTGACTATGTAATTTCTATCAATTTTGGTCACGCCGGCCAAATTACCGGCAGATTGTGACCGGAAAATCTTAAGTCAACATTTGAATTGAATTGGAAGGGATAAAATCGTCTTTTCTTGTTTAGTTTTTCCTTCTAATTTGGGAAGTGTTTTCAGTCTATAGCGTAAATTTTCGGCGTCCTTCTCCGGCCTCCGTCACCGGATTCCTTCTCCAACGTCACAGCCTCCGCCTCCGGCCAAGTCCCCAACTCCCATTTCCGGCCACCGTCCCCAGCTTCCTCTCGTCCGAATAACAACTTCAATAACACAGACCACGAACTTTCCAAAAGCTTCACTAGGATCTTGTCCAACTCCAAATTTCTGTATATAATCATCTAAATCTCTTTTTTTTTTTTTTGCAGTGATTAAACCCTATTTGAGTTTCTAAGGAGTCGGGTTCCAATGCTTTATTATTATTATTATTATTTTTTTTTTTTTTTTTTGCAGTGAAATCTGAAATCCATCCCCTCTTAGTATCTCACCCTTCTCTGTAGTCGAATTAGGCCATTAAGAGCTGCAGGAAAAGCGATGAAGCTCCGGTACGCAATGGTATGCTCATCCAATCAGAACCGGAGCATGGAGGCCCATTCGTTGCTTAAGAGAGAGGGTTTCGATGTTTGCTCTTATGGGACTAGACAACACGTGAAGCTCCATGGACCTTCCCTCAGAAAGGAGGGGTGTTATTTTGGTCAACACTTCACTTTCCCAAATTATAAGGAATAAGAAAAGACAGTTTTACCCCTTTCAATTCAGTTCAAATGTTGGTTGAAGATTTTACGGTCACAATTTGCCGGTAATTTGGTCTGAGTGACTAAAATTGATAGAAATTGTATAGTCAAGGTACTAAATTAACATTTTTAATAGTCAAGTGTTGCAATTAACACAACTCCAATAGTCAGTGGACCAAAATTGAAATTTTCTCTTATTATTATATAACAAATAATAACCAAACAAGAAAAATGCTGATAATGCAAATAGTTCAGGTAGGCTTATTTAGTAGGGATGAGTTGTGCACAAGAAGTAACGATACAAGATATTTTACATGAACACCTGAAAGGACTAGAGGTTTACTAATCGGGCAATCGGGAGGTCTACTGGTCAATAACTAAACCTACATTATTCGGGTTGGGAAATACACTAGGTTGACTGAGAAGTGCACATATAGGCCCTCATGGGGGGGGGGGTGTGGGGGTGTGGGGGGAGTGCACTTGTGAGCTCTCTTGAGACTGAGAAGTGCACTTGTGAGTTCCGAACAAGTAGTGTTACCCTATAATCCTATCAAATGTAATTTCTTAACCTTCCGTCAAACAAAAAAAAAAAAGTTCTATGACTTTCATTCAAAGATTATAAAATTAAAATATTTTTCAAAAAATTAGTCATTTTTTGAAAATCATTTTTAAAAAATATATGTTTCCAAACAGGCCCTTAATGCATGACTTTAATTTTTTTTTTTTTTTTTTTGGTTACGCCACGAAATATCCGAAATAAGTCCTAACTATATGAAACACATTGAAGCACGTACCATACTCAGTAAATGACTTTTATTTTTGTTGTGAGTGGTTGTCACATTTAGTCATTTCAATCAATTTTTTTTTTTTTTTGAAAAATAAAGACTACAATTCATCATATTTTCAACTAAAAATCATATCGACTTAAACATCTTTAAATTTTTGCATATAAATACATGATTTGAACTATAAATATGATGCATTTTACTTGTTTTTCTTAATAATAAATTTTATTAAAAGGACCAAATTAAATGTGACAAAAATCATATTCGACGACTAATATAATTGTGTATGTGTCATTATAGTTGTTGACAAAAAGTGAAAAAATATTTCTTTAGTGTTTTCTTATAATATTATGAATAATTAAATTGTAAATAACATAGAGTTAGTCATGGTTAATTGAACCATACATATCAAATGAGACGATGAATACGTGAATTTATGTAATTTAATTAATGTACATAAATTAATGTCATTATGAAATTAACTTGTTCTTAAAAAAAAATCATGTTTAATTTTGAAATGACGATAGAAACTCGTAACTACTATCTGAAGGTGTGTACTTGATAAACTCGCAACCCCATGTGGCAAAAGATAATAATGACTTAAACTAATAAGGCCAATAGGCCACTCATACTGGGAGTCAAAACTTGTAACCTTGTGGTTATTAAGTCAATAGTATGTTTCAAATTTAATTTTAATTTGTAGAAATGTGTTTGTATAACTACCCTAATAATGTTTAGGATAGTTACTTTTAAATTAATCAAAATTCAGTGTAACTTTAACTGCTAAATATTACTACGTAAAAAAAAAAAACATTTTATACAAAACTTTACTATGGATAGTTAGAAGATTTAATAATTACATTTGTTTAATATTCATTAATTTCAATAAATATTACATTTACTTCTAATCTTGATAATGTAAATTAGATTGTGAATAAGGATTTGTTACCAAAATAACTTTTTTTTTTTAGTCAATAACACTTCCACTGAGGCTCAAACTCACAACTTCTCGTATGTGAATCCAATTCAAGTACCATTTGAGTACAAGGTACTTGACAAGTTGTCAAAATAACTTAGTTTTAAACTTATTTAATTTCTTCCATGTCAACACTTTGTCTCACATACTTTACCATTAACTGAACTATGATCATTTAGATAATAATTTTAAGGGTCTGTTTGGAAACTCGGAAAATGGCTTCTGAAAAATGAGTCATTTTCTAAAAGTCATTTTCTGTGTTTGGCTGCACAAAGGAAAACTGTCTTTTGATGTTTGGTTTATTTTTCAGAAAATGATGGAAAACTGTCTTTTTGGTGTTTGGTTCATTTTCCAGAAAATGAACAGAATGACATATTTAAACATTTTTAATTATTATATACCGAATAATATATTTTTATTTTTGTTTGTAGAATATAACAATTTGTATTATAAATTATATGCAAAACATACATTAAAAAAAAAAAAATTGCAACTGGTTTTCGCTGGTTTTCCGCATCGGAAACCAGATCCAGAAAACCATTCACTGGTTTCCAATTGGAAACCAGTGCAGTCATTGGTTCCCAATCGGAAACCAGTAACTGCACCGGTTTCCGATCGGAAACCAGACTCACTGGTTTCCCAACCATAATATTTAGAAAAAAAAATCAAAAAAAAATGATATGTAGCTTTCCTAGTGTTGGTGAAGCTTTTGTGGTTGTGGATTGTTGGAAGAGATGTGTTGGTAGTTCTCTGTTGAATGTTGAAGGAGGAGGTGAAGTGGGAGAAGAAGCAGTGAAGGGAGAAGAAGGCTTAGCGTGTCTGCATGTGTTGATTGAAAGATGGAAAATGACTTCCACAAAAAATAAAAAGGGAAGTCATTTTTCGGATTTTAGCCCTCATTTTCCATTGACTAGTTAGCATTTTCCTTTGACTATTTCATTTTCAGCCTTCCCAAACACCAAAAACCCAGAAAATGATTTCCCGAAGTCATTTTCCGAGTTTCCAAACAGACCCTAAATTTTGTTTCTTCTTCAATAGAGGTTTTGAGGCTTTTACTTTCATCATCATGGTTTTTATTTTCATGATCATTTTATTGTGATCTTTAACTAATATTTTTAAGATGTTTACATGATTATTGTTAAGATATTTACATAGAAATGAGAGATCATATTCATAGTTAGGATAATAAGGGTTTTGATAAGTTCAAACTCTTTTGGTATTATCTAATTAAACAATAGATAAAATCGATATTATCCAAAATATATTCAAATATTTTAATATTATATTTATCAAATTTTCAATGTAAAATCTATAAGTTGATTGGCTCAAAAGGAACTTTTTGTTTATTTATTATTTTGTCCATAGTCTATTAGTTCAAATAAAAAAAAAAAGTTGTAAGTTAAACTTTTAATATTGTGATTACAAAATCAATACCATGACTAACTTAACTGGTGGTGCCTTTTGTTTTGTCTTGTTTATATGCGTATGTGGGGAGAAATATTCCTCTAACTACAGAGATATCCTAAATAAACATGTTGATGTATGTTAAATTGGACCTCTATTGAACCCCATTCCTAGAAACCAAAACCATTATTATATACATATAAATTTGCTTTTAATTTTATATATTTAAACGACTTAATCCCTCTAAGTATAAAATTAAAATCTATGATCAATCCAATTATATATATATCCAATCCAACAGGTTACCAGTAAAATTACACCGTTGATTGTATTTTTTCATTGAAATAAGGATCAAATAAGCCATCGAACTACACACAAAAATGTAATTAGGCCACTGAACTCAAAAAATATACAATTAGGTCCCTGGACAACGCAAAATGATGCAATTGAACCTAAAATTGACATGTATACTTGAAGAGTTGAAGTGGAAGTTATTTTATTAAAATAATATATTTTTTTATTTTATTAAATAATTTTATATACCAATTTTATTTTATTTTTTTTAAAAAAACCTTCGTCTCCAGGCTACCACTTCGTCTCCGGCAGCCTGGAGACGAAGGACCTCTTCTTCTCCATGTTGGAGAAGAAGGGACGAAGAATGGAGGCGAAGGATGAGATCCTTCTTCTCCGGCATGGAGGCGAAGGATGAGATCCTTCGTCTCGATGCCGGAGACGAACACGTCCCTTCGTCTCCATGCCTTCGTGTCCAGCATGGAGACGAAGGATCTCATCCTTCGCCTCCATGCCGGAGAAGAAAGGACATCTTCGTCCCTTCATCTCCGGCAGGGAGAAGAACCAGAGAAGAAGAGGTCCTTCGTCTCAAGGGTGCCGGAGACGAAGGTTTTTTTTATTATTATTTTATTTTATTTTATTTTATTTTATTTTTTGGTATTTAAAATTATTTAATAAAATAAAAAAAATATTATTTTAATAAAATAATCTCCACTTCAGGTAAACAGGTCAATTTTTGGTTCAATTGCATCATTTTGCGTTGTTCAGGGACCTAATTGCATGTCTTTTGAGTTTAATGGCCTAATTGCATTTCCACGTGTAGTTCGATGACCTATTTGACCCTTATTCATTTTTTCTTTGACCGAAAAAATTTTACCGGAAAAAATCACCATCGACCAAATGGTAGACTTCTTCGGAGAAGGCACTAGAACTGGTTGCCTTCTCCGAGAGAAGGTAACCAGAACAGGTCGCCTTCTCTGAAGAAGGTGACCATAAGTGGCCATTCTGAGAAGACGATTAGAAGTGGTTGTGGCTAGAGATTCACTGAGTTTTTTATTGGCATGAGAATGATTGCCTATAACAAGTTTGTAACCGGTTGGTGTATTTAGTTGCATGAAAATAACATGTTTGAGGGCTTTGAAGATTTAATTGCTTATTTTTAAAATTTATGATGTGTCTAATTTACTTTTGATATAAAATTTAAGAGTCTATTTAACTATTTTTTTAATTTTATTATTATGTAGATCACAAACCACATGAAATAAATAAATTGTAAAAAAAATAATAAAAATCCTGCGTAACAGGTTTAACTGTATTTTAGTTGTAGGGGATTAAACGGAGTGAGAGTGCTGACGGGGTGGGTGGCCTAGTAAGGGAAGTAGTTATGGGTGGCCGAATAAGAGAGAAAATGGCAGCCCTAAAAATGAGGGAATTCAGTTATCGACGTTCACATCCAATTATCCAGACTTCGTGAAACACGCGCAGCATGGGCGAGTTGACTCAGACTCCAGTTTGGTTCTCCCCCCGGATCTGGACCGCAGACCCGTACAAAGAATCAATCCCCAATTGAATGCCCATCTCCCTCCCTGCATTGTTCTCTCTGCAGCTAACTCTTCAACTCTCTCCTCTAGCTGGGCCTGCAAATCAAAAACCGCAATGAGCTACTGAGAATCGCCGACTGCGCTGAGTCACTGGACGGACGACAACAATGGGAGCATGCTGCGGCAACCTCCTACGCGACACGTGGGGTCGCTTCTCCGACCGCTGTGTGCGCTTCATGCCCTGCTTATCTGATCCAGGTAACCATACTTCTTCGCTCGCCATCCTAGAATGTGTATCCGTCTACGCGTGTGGATGCGTGTTTATTAGATTATATTATTTGAATTGAAGTTTGAAACATTTTAGCTCGGAGATCCACGCTGTGCTTGAAAATAGTGTTGCTGACGCTGCACGTGGTATACGCCGGCGTTCTATTTGGTTTGGACTCAGAGTTAATTGAGAATGCCAGACAAGTGCCTTGGTAATGCCGATGTCTTTTACGTTCTTACGAGTATGCTTGTTTAATTTGAGTTTAATTGTTTGTGAACACCGAGAAAGTGCTTGGTAGCAGAATGATACAGTCATAGATGTAAGTGAGTGTTAAATTGAATAATTGATTGAATTGGTCACGTGTTATAGATCACAGAATAGGATGTGAAGTTTCTAATGAAAAATGTCATTCTTAAGGTGCTGATTGGCTGTTTGTTAACCCTTAGTTGGTTTAACTATTCTTACTGGCAATGGATAATGCTAGAGAATGTGAATGCATACATTTAAACTGCTGAATTATTAATGCCAGTATGCTGGGGGGGTCATTATTTGATTTCACTGGTCATTACTCTTCTTCTGTATTTCTTCTTGTTATAAATGGTTCTTATTTTAACCAATTTTGTCCTATGTTCGTGCATCCACCAGAGTCTCATGTACATATACAGAACACTCCAAATATGCTGTAGAACTAGCTACTTCTGATATATAATGCATTTTCATTTTGTTCGGGAGAAATTCATAAATTAATGCTAGCACATTAAGCAGTCTATATTTTTTGGATCATGATTCATGGATAACTTTTTAAGATTATATTTTAAAATTTTAATTTTTGTCCATAAAATTGAAATATGACCATCCTATTTTTCTTTCTCACAGGTATATTGCAATATACTACTTGTTGTTCATTGTCACACTGGTTCAATATTTTGTCACTTCGGTTTCACCTCCAGGGTAATTTTTGGGGTTAAGATCCACATTGCCAATAATTTCTCTTTACTCCTTGTCTAAGTGGCCCATAAGATTGTGATTCAGGGGCTAAATCTTTTCTTTTGTTGAAAATCTAGGTATATTCTTGACGTAATGAGGACTGTCAATGAGGCAGGTGCCTTGCATAATAGTACATCAGTGGCCTCAAAGTAAGATCAATTTCTTTCTGGATACTAAGATGTATGGAAAGGAAAATGAAATAAAAGTATTGGGGGATTCCTTTATAAAAAATATACTAAGAAAATTCTGTTATCTTATGTAACTATGTTAAGCAGTAAAGGTAGGAATACTTCTTCTCCGTACTGTCAGATAATCAATTAGTTGTCATTCTTCTGTTGATCTTGATGTTATTGAATAATCTAACTGTCGTCATGCTCCTGCTCATGTTCTTGTTAAATGATCAAGCAAAGACAACCTGCTTCAAGCAAAAATGGCAGTGCAGTTATTACAATTGATCGGAGCCATCTTTTAGGGCCTAGTGCAACACCTTGGGCAAAGCTAGTGATGGATTTGTATCCCCATGGATCATCTGTTAGGTGGGTGATTTCAATGATTTAATAACTACCTATTCTCAATGTTCTGCTGCTACATTCAGAGGGAACTTATGGACCTATATATCTGTGTTTTCCAGAACTTGGACTTGCACTTACTGTCAATCTCTGCAGGTAAAATCTCCTGTATTTGTTTTCCTTTGTATTTGAAGCTGTCACCTTATGGAATACATTATTATGATGATTTTTAATGATTCTTGATTGTTAGGAAAATGGATAATGAAATATGAATTTAAAGATTTACATTCTGGAATTATATTTCCATTTTCACTTTAAATGCTCACGTGCATTGTAAAAGAGAAAGCAATATATGTATTGTAAGGGCATTTTGAATTGCAACCGGAGAATACATATTACTATGTTTTGCCTTCCAAATGTAGTGTTTGGTCAGGAGTAACTGTAATAAACTAATATTTATATAAATGTACATAACTGATAAACCTTTTGGCAATACCTTCATGTTCTTGATGTTTTTCTTGCATGGAAATTTTTCTGCAGCCTCCACGAACTAAACACTGTCATGATTGTGACAAATGTGTTCTTGAGTTTGACCATCATTGTGTGTGGCTTGGGACATGTATAGGGCAGGGTAACCATTGCCGATTTTGGTGAGCCTACATTCTTGTATTTAATGTAGTGATGGTCAGTTGTATGCATACATATTTCATTCGTCTTTATTCTCTTATGTAATTCTTTGTTTCCGATTTTAAAAAGTTGATATTATGTACTCATGTGTGTGTGTATTGTTCGTACTCTTTTATATCTCATTATCTCTTATGCTAAAATGTTTAGTTGATCACACCAGGTGGTACATTTGTGAGGAAACAGCTTTGAGCATTTGGACTGGCATCTTATACATTCAATTCCTTAAGTCTAGTATATCAAAGGCATGGTATGTGTCTTCCACTCCAAGTTGCAATTTTATCCTGATATTGTTCTGTGCATTCCTTGTATTCCCTGTGTTATTTGGGGGAGGAGAGCTGTGGAGGTTGAAATTCAATGTTTGGCCTTGTAATATAATAACCTCTTGGCATAAAACCATCAGGTATGCCAACTTGGATGTGTAATATTTCTACGATTTTAGGCTAAATGTTTGTTTGATGAGATAAAATGCAAGAAAATGTGAGGATCCACTTTTACACTTCTTCAAAGTTCAAACCACCTTTTCAATTGTTTAAAACCAAGGAATAAGAGTGTATAGTAAATCTTGTCAAATGAACCTAAACATAATGTTATGGTTTTTCTTTCTTTTTCAGGTGGGTTTATGCAATTATGATTCTGTTGCTAGCTATGTTATCATTTTTCTTCATCTTTTTGTTTCTCCTACTACTTTTTCACAGGTACCTATTTTATACTCCTCTAAAGTACTATTTGGCCATTGTAATGTCTTGCATCGCATCATCATATTATTTGTTACTCAGTTTATTGACTTGCTAAACTATTCAGGTTTTAGGCTTGTGTTCTGGGGAATTAACTTTCCATTTGGGTGGGCAAATAGGAATTGTGAGAGAGGGATGCTAATAATTACCTCCAGGTAAAAGAATATTGTTTTCCTGTACAACAGGAAAGAAGGTGATGTGGCCTTACAGTTTTTGACTTTTAGCATTGTATCAAGTAAAAGGAGGATGGTGCACCTTAGGGGTAACATCAATTCCGGTCTCTATTTCTGCTGGAATACCATTCCATTTTGACGGAAAAATAGTTTTAGGAAGCATATGTTAGACTTTGAGGAAAGTTAAGCATGTTTCATTGTGAAGATGAAAGTAATTTACAAAATAATGGGGAGCGGAGCATGGACATGAAACTGATGCTTGTGTTTTGATAGCAAAAAAGAGTTTCAAAGACTCTTGAGATCATCATTTAGTGGACAGAAGTTGTCAAAAAAAAAAAAGTAGAGGAAGTGTCCTTTAAATAGTCATTTTCTTAAGTTGCAACCCCGCTGATGTTGACATCAAACTAGCACTATCTTTTCACATTTTTTAAAAAATATGCTGCTGTCCATTTCTCTCCCTATAGTGTTTGGGCAGCCATCTTTCTCATTAATGTGGGTTTCCACTACTTCCCAGCCTGTTTCTAAACTTATATTAAATCTAATTTTTGTCTTGAAACAGCTACCTTATTTTGACAAACCAGACTACTTATGAGCTTGTTAGACGGAGAAGGATCCCATATTTAAGGTTCATTCTAATTTGAATCCTGTATTGGTTGCATACTATTCGTAGCCAAATGTAAAACAGTAATGCTCATCAATAATTGTTTTAAACTTGCAATGTATGTGCAGGGGGGTTCCTGAAAGAGTGTTTCCTTTTAGTAAAGGAGCTTGCCGAAATCTGTACTACTCCTGTTGTGATCGAAGCAACATATACAGGATGGAACATACGCCAACGCACCAGGAAATTGAAGAGAAGTCAAAACCTTATACATGCTCAGATGTCATGCGTTGCCGGTGTTGCTGTTAATAACTTGTTCCTCCCTGTTCTAGTTTTGTTGTCCCCTCTGAAGAATCTGCATCTTTCCCTTTCAAGGCGAAACATTTGAAGGGCGTTTATTTGCATTTGTTAAGACAGGGCAAGAATTCAACTGACTATTGGCCAGATTGAGTTAGTAATGGTCGGTGTTGGCAGTCTGGCTATTTGACCATTGATAGATTGAGGAAGGAAATTGTGATGTATGCCTTAATAGCTATGTAAGGGTCTATGGGTGAACACTGGACATTTTAATATTCCATACTTGGATTCCCCTTGCTGAATAAACTATAAGGGTGTGTTCGGTTCAAGTTATATGGTTGAGAATCCCATATTACTAAAAGAAATATTGTATGCTCCCATTTGGTTTTTAGTAATGTGAGACCCTCAGAGGTAATATGAGATTCCCAAAAATGGTTTGTAGATCATTTTTGGTCTTTAGGAGAGTTGAATTTAAAATGTTTGGGTACCTTTATAAATGCAAAAGATTATGTGTTTCTTCATGATTTGGCCCTTTATTATTATGATGTGTGATCCAGGTCCTCCAATGGAGCAAGCAAATCAATGGATTTGGAACTGAATTAAAAAATAAATGGTTGCAATAAATTCACTCATTGTATGGGAGGTAAACTTTCATTAATATTACAAGATGATTAATTGAGTTTGTGTGTTCCCTTCACACCCTTTAGTTCAGCTATCTTTGAAAGAGAGGTTTAATCACCTAATGTCACCTAAGAAAATCTTCTTCATTCTTTGATCATATATTCTTGCATTTCTTACAAAAAAAGAAAAAAAAAAAAGAAAAAAAAAAAGAATAATGTTTATGAACTCTTGAGTGCTTGATTACTTCTGTTCTCTGTTTATCCCATATATTATTGACTGGGAGGAAATGCAGACCACACCACTGAAGAATACTTTATATTGAATAGAACAAATAGTAGTACATCAGTGAAAAGGGGTCGAATAGAGATGTTTGTAAATCTAGTTTTCACTTTCAATACTATAGAGTATAGAATAACAGGGCAGGAAATACATATACTTTTCAGAACCATCAGAGGTGCAAAACAGGCCGCGAGTGTGTTATAGTCTGGCAATTCGGGATGAACATGTATTACTTGTGACATTCAGTTTCATTTTTGGTACTTAAGAGCTTCAAAACGAGAAGTGAGTTCGTCGTAGTCTGGTAATTTGGGATGAACACGAGGTACTTGTGGTGCAGGGCGCTCTGGGGGTGGGGCAGTTTCTCCACCATAGTAGGATTCATCAAAATTGACTCCTGAATGCTGAGAGGGGGCGGCATTGTAACTGTGCCTCCTATAGATTTGTCTAGAATCATGATCAGTAGGTTGGCTGGGCGGGGGGTATGGGTATCTACCAGCATTTCTAGGACTTTCCATCTCAATTTCTTCATCGCAATCTGATTCATCGTACTTGACATCTAAATTTGTAGATGGAGCATTGTAGCTGCTATGTCTACGAATCTTTTGTTGTGCATGAATGTCGTCTATTGGCATCACTCTACCAGCAGAATGCTGAGAATCTCCAGAGTTCCTTCTATTCATCCTGTGAATGTCATATTGCTCATCAACAGCTGCATTATTCACATGACCATAGGAACCAGAAGATGCTCTTAGAGTTTTGTTGGCTAGGTATGCAGCTGCTTCTGCAGCAGCAATAGCTTGCTGGGCAGACTCGGCTGCAGCTTTAGCTGCAGATGCTGGGTCTTCAAAATTTTTGTTGCCAGTTTCTCCATAATTTGTCATTCTGTTTTTCAACAGGGAAAAAATAACGGGTTTGTAATCTCCTTCAGTATAAACTCGAAACTGATGTTTATAAAAGTATGTCAAAGGTCTATAACTTACATGGTTGCCGGGTTGTTAGGGTCAATAGACTGCCTTGAAACTGGCTTCACAGGTAAGCTAGTGGCACTTACAAAAGTGTTTGGTCCTTCCTGATCAAGGAGAGGCAACAGCTTAATGGGGGATCAGCACAGAAATGTAACTAGCAACTGAGAGAGAGAGAGAGAGAGAGAGAGAGAGAGAGAGACATACTATACGCTCTTCCGGTGCCTTGAGAAGCTCAACCTCAGACTCTGTTGTATCCCATTCTACCTGGTATTCCTTGGCGATTTCCTTCATGATTTTTAGTTTGACTTCACCACTTGGGGTCTTTACAGAGAGCTTTTCAATGAGCTGCAGAAAGAAGCAACCAGTTCTCAATAATTATCTCCATAGTATCGCTTTTTCATGATAGGTTGCTAGCTTTTGATGTGTTGAAATGTAAATAATCCATCTCTTATCAAAAGGATACTGAGTAGTAGTTAAGGTCCTTAAGGATGACACTCAATATCAAATTGCTTTAAAAGTTCTATTCAATATTTGTTGAATGTGGCATAATCCTCAGATGGAAAAAAGAGAACATACTTACCATGCGGTTCACACCAGCATTTGGTCGTAGATCTGTAGCTGCAGAAACAAAATCCTTTCCGTACTTTTTCTCAAAAACATCTCGAATTTCCAGAAGTTCAGGAATCTCAGAGCACCGAGGGCCTGCAAATATCAAACTCGATATTCCCTCTTTCAGATCTGCAGGACATTCTCTGGAATGGGCAGAGCACAGAAAAGATAATGGTCAGCCACATTTTTGAAAACTTCCTATTACTGTTTCACAAACTCGAATAATTTGAAGCACCTTTGCTTTGCAATAATAGGAAGCCTTGCCACGATAAGTTCACAGAAGAGCTCAATGAATTCATTTGCAGCCAAAACATTCTGTTCTCTTATTACATGTTCAACCTACACAACCATGAAAAACCATGATAACTATGTATTTGGAAAAGGCTCACACAAGTTGGAATTGTATCCAGAAAATTTGAGACTTAGATGAAATATGAAGTAGTCACAAAAAAATTCCCGATATCTAACCAAGAACTTAAAATTAAACTTACCTAGATGTTTTCTACTCAAAAATACATAGTGCACTCATTGGACATAAATCTAGAACATTACAATCCATAGACAAAAAGCACATAGGATTCTACTCCAAATATGGGAGAGCATATACCACCAAAGAACTCAAAATCTTCTAGAAACCATGTGGTTGCTTGCAGGCCACAGGTGCAACTGCACACCCCTCAATATTATATACAGCAACTGAGGGATGACAAGACCACACTTCTAGTTAAAGCATGAAAATAGCAACTTAAAACTTGGTACTCCAAAGAAAAAAACAAACAAACAAATTTTGACAGCAAGCATAACCTGGATGTTAAGTATCCAACAAAATATTTTAAAAGAATAACAAAAAATGCAATTTTGAGTTTTGACCATGGGCAGGATTGTTCTTAGAATTATATGAATCTTATGCTAAAATTTAACTAAAAAAAAGTGATGATTTTAGGAAAATTATTGCATAGAAAATGTAAGAGCAATGTTGTTCGAAATATCCACTTTAACATGCACTTCCGGTCATGGTAACCAGATTCTATCATAAAGAGAAGACACTCACTCCAAAATTTTTGCTTCAAGGAGTTTAATTTTATCAACCATCAAAGACTTGAGGTTAAATCCAAGATGATCCACAATTCCATAAAGGTTTCTTAAGCAATTCTAATTTCTAAGCAACAACATTAGGCTATGAAAACTGACCATTTTTAGAACAAAATCCCTAATTCTACTATCACTAACTACGAAGCTAGATGGAATAAGAAAAACATTTCTAAGAAATAAGTTGGAATAACTGGTTTCAAGTGAAAAAAATCAAGATCAAAGACGCACAGTGTCAGATCGAACCAAATAAATTTTAACAAAGTTCAACAATTGGGAATATTGGAAGAGAAATGTACCCTAATCCGAGCAGTAGCATCCTGACCGGTCTCGAGAAGCAAGGCAATGTCTCTCCTCATCTGCCTCACCACCACTTCCCTCTTGTTCCTCAGCAGCTTTATCCTTGCCACCGTCATCTTCGCCATCGTCTTGCTAAAATTTTCAATTCACACACAAATCACAACTATTAATAACTTAAAAAAAAAAAAAAAAAAAAAAAGAGAAAAATGTTGTAAAGAAAGAACCATTTGGAGGAGTTGAAGCCGCGGCGGAAGAGAGAGAGTCCGATCTTCATGGCTTTCTTCCAGCGGGCGTTGGCTGTGCTTGCGACGGCCATGGCTGCGGGCTTTGGTCTGTTTATGGAGAGTGAGAAGAGAAGGTGGGGTTTAAGTATAACGGTCGACTTTGGATGCCAAATCGTCAATAAATAGAAAAATGAGGATTTGTGACGTGGCGGTTATCCGACGGTCCACTAGGCAGAGCGCGAACCCACCGACCAGATTTTTTGCCAGTTAGCAAATATGGGTTTTGGCCGACATTATTGAGGAAAAAAGATCCGTTAAATTAAAGTGAGCGACTTTCCTGGGCGTGCTTAATCCTTTGTAATAAATAATTTTAGAAACAAAAAATTTTATACTCCCAAAATCCTTTATATAATAAAGATATATGGTTTAGAAAATTATTAATGTTACAATTAATGCCACAACATCTTTTATTATATACTAGTATTGTCCCCGTGCGATGCACGGGATAAATATTGTTCAACTTATTGTTCAATTGTGTGAAATATTTAAGAGATAATCTAATATTTCAAAGATCAAGAATTAAAAAGTCGAGTTGAAATAAAAAATAAAAAATGTAAATGAAAAATAGAAACAATAATGAAATTTACTTTAACATACATCTGAATAAATGTAATATATTTATTCTAATAGATGTATGTGTGATTTAATAATGTAATCTCTAGTTGAATTATATTTTTGTTTTGTATTTTTTATCGGATTTTAATATTTTTTTTTTATCCCTAATAATAATATTTATGACT